ACTGTAGTCAATACTCTGGCAGTCTGACCACCCCTCCTTGTGATGAAGTGGTCTCTTGGTTCGTGGCCATTCCATTCGCGCGTGACACATACCTTGCTACTACAAAGGTCAGTTCGGATGCCAGCATTATTTAAAGACGATGTAGCTGATGCCTCATCCCCCCACCCCCTAGAAAAACAACCGTTATACGCAAAACCTGCTAGGAGAACCCAACCTTCTCGTGGTCGCCGCGGAAGGTCTTTACTCATGCAGGGGGGCCGTTGAGCATCGGTAAATCGTATTCCAAATAACCACAGCCAACTTTTATAAATGAACCGTGAGCTGTCTGTGTGGAAGACTCCTGTACACCTTTACATAATTACTTCTTTGTCGCTTTCGTAATACCTCTACTATTAGCAATGCGACCCAGATTCAGTGCCATGATCTCAGTTTACGTCGTCCCGCGAAATTTACAACTAGACGATTCTGACAGACATTCTGACTATGTAATTGAATACAGTTAGTTCAACCCACCGAACTTAACTCACTAGGTTGGAAGCTTCCGAGAATTTGCCAATTATCGTAGAATCTTTGCCCAATGGGGATCAGTTCGATCCAAATCGAGAAAGCCCTCTCCGTTGAACGATCGAAAAATGATGAAAAACTTTTCTTCCTGGCGAGCGCATTCCCATCTACCAATGTCATTCCCACCTTCATTCCTCCGAGTCTCGAGAATGTGGAATACCTATTAGGTGTCAATAGAATACGCGGCCGGATTCGAGATGCCTACATGTTCGGACTAGCCCTCAGCCTGGGCTCGGTAGCCCGGGTGCGTGTACAATAACCTGAAGCCGAGCAGCAGTGCTATTAGTGTGACCGTCATCCTTTAGCAGACTGGTTACATATCCCGATCGAAGTGGACTACCATCTTTCTTTGATTCCTTTCACTTTCTATAGCTTTCTGTGCCATAGAAACTGATATCTCTGCGCTGGCCCATTACAATGCTAACTGGTAGGTGTACGCCGCGACTGAGGGGCAACTTGTGCCCTTCCATTCCAGCGGTCCTTCAATCTATTGATCATGCACGAACCGGACCTCTGTCTCGCATTTAACCAAGGGACCCGAGGGTTTCACCTCGCCTTCAAATCAAGGAGTCAACTTCTCTCAGGACATGTCCTCACACGTTTTTACTTCGTTTTACGGCCTTTTACGGCCTAGTTGCTTTCCTGATGGCCCGCCCGCCCGCCCGCCCGCCCGCCTTCACCTTGGCACTCTCGGTATTGGTAAGTTTATTTATTGTTTTCTTATTGACACTCTCGGTGTTGGTGATTTTGAGATTAACGGATGGAACGCGTGGATATATCCTATGAATCGAGTGATGGACGCTGATATATGATCTCTTGTCGACCCATATGTCCGTTACGTGTTCTCGGTCCCGTTCCGCCGCCACTGATACGTCAGGCAAACGTCAGATTGCATTGGCCCATCAAGGAATCAATTTCTCTTAGGAGAGGTCCTCACACGTTTTTACATCGTTTTACAGCTTTTTACGGCCTGTCGCTTTCCTGATGGGCCATGCAGATTCAAGTAATTTGCTTTCAGAACTTGCCAATTTTCCCGACACTGACCAGTTTACTCTCCTCGTCGCAGGTTTAACTAGGCTGCAAAATATCTCTGCTTACACTGCGGGCAATCGTTCTAAGTTAGGGGAAATGTCTGTCAGCAGATCCCAACGCCACACAAGTCACTTGTTCGGTTCCTGACATACACGAGTCCGGATCTGCGGAGGAATATAAAATGTCTGGTCAAAGCTTGGTCTTCACTTCTCACCGGGTACTTCATTTGAGTCCCCAACATGATCGCTGCAGCCCTTTTCTCCCTGGCGTTCATATCGTCTGCTGCTGCTTCTTGCGGCCGGGGACTGACGTTCATAGACCCTTTTCAATTCGACGCAGAGGGTCACATTCCCATTCCATCCTTTTCCTATGGTACTACAACTGGCCCCCTAAACTGGCACAATCTCAACACGACCGCCTATTTCTTGTGTGGAAATGGCACCCACGTCAGTCCACGGCATGCTATAAATTATTTTCGTCAATATTTATTTCGGACTAAAATAGCAAAGCCCTATCCTGATCAATACTACCTCTGCCCAAGTCCCTCCAGGATCGGTCAAGCTGAACGTTCCGAATGCACGCAATGCTTCATTCGAGAATCTCGGTACTAATGTTGAGATCGTGGTGAACGGGACTTTGCAAGCCGCCAACTCGACATGGAAACTTTCGCAGTATGCATTCCCCAATCCTTGGAAGCTTGTATAGCCTAATTTTCTCCCCCATCTAGGTTTCACTTCCACACTCCGAGCGAGCATCGCTTGGATCTAGGTCACTATGAGGCTGAGATGCACTTCGTTTTCGCTGCTGCTGGTCACATGTTCCTTTTTGGCATATACCTGCCCTTCTGATCTCTTTCCATCGTAGATGGCTCAACTAAAGTGGCAGTACTCGGATTCTTCATTCAGGTCGCGAGTAATGAAAGCACCCCTTTACTGGAGACTATCTTTGCACACCTTGGCTCGATCCAAACGCCAGGAACAACTACCCAATTGCCCACGATTGATTTCTCGTCATTCCAAGCCAGTGCCAACAAAATGGCGTACTTGTACGTCTATTCTTAATCCATCGTAGTAGTGATTTACAGATCGCTGACACTCTTGCCGCTGCAGCCAATACACCGGGAGTTTGACCACCCCTCCTTGCACGGAAGGAGTCGCTTGGTTCCTGGCTACCACTCCCATTCCGCTCAAGATTGATACATACAACGTGCTCAAGGGCACCACAAAGGTCAGCGATGCTCTTCCTTTTTTGAAGGTGATGCAAATGACGTTTTGTTCATATTACAAGACAAACAACCGTTACACACAAAACCTGCTGGGTCAACCGAACCTCCTTGAGGTTGCAAAGGTCAACCTTTAGTCGAAGCGAGGTTTAGCACAGGTAAACACATTTCAAATAGTTGCAAACACTTGTTCCCTTTGTAAAGTAGCCTCCAGCACTCCAATCTTCTTTCCTACAGTTGTCTTCATTTTGACGTCGCTCTACATTTCATTAGCTATCCGCGAAGGAAGGTTTAAATCACTGTTTTCAATTAGACAGAATGTCCATAATTGCAATGGTTGTCAGTCGATATATCCAGCCGATGAGATTGGCGACATAAACTGAGAACACGACATTAAGTCAAAACAAATATATGGCATGATATACTACAACTAGGTTGATGTCTATGCAGAGTATTCCATCTTGGCTGCGAAAAAAAATAAAAATTAGTGTTGTATCCTGTGTCAAAATCGCATGGACTTACTCTCGTGTTTTTTGGCCTCGGAGACCTTACGCGCGGCCTTGGTCAAGTCTTCCTGGTTTACATACTCCCTGCATGCAAGATAAGCGAAAAATCTCATTCTAAAGAGCGGTTGGGAGTACAAACCTGTCATCCCTGATCGCAAACATGCCAGCCTCCGTCACGACATTACGCAAATCAGCACCGTTGAATGCATCAGTTAGCTACACAGAAATTCAGTACGACGAACTAAAACCACTGAAGACTAAATCACCTTGACGATAGCCTCGTAATCGATGTCGCCACCCTTGTTCACAGGTGCAGCGTGAATTTTAAGAATTTCCATTCGGGCCTGTTCATTCGGCAGTGGCACTTCGATCTTGCGGTCAAGGCGACCTGGCCGAAGAAGAGCTGGGTCGAGTGTGTCCGGTCGATTTGTAGCCATGATGAGTTTTGTCCTGCCAAGGGAATCAAAGCCGTCCATTTGATTCAAGAGCTGTAATTGTTCAGGTTCATTGCGTCGACCCCAGTGTCTGAAAAAAATTGCTGACCTCCATGAGCGTTCTCTGAATCTCCCGATCCGCACTCGTCCCTTCCGAGAACCTTCTCCCACCGATCGCATCAATCTCGTCCATGAAAATCACACAAGGCTCATGGTCCTTCGCGTATCCAAACATCTCTCTTACGACTCGTGCACTTTCTCCAATATACTTATCTACAATTGCAGAGGAGACAACTTTCAGGAAATTTGTTTGCAGGGTCGCTGCTACGGCGCGAGCGAGCAAGGTCTTTCCCGTTCCCGGAGGGCCATAGAGGAGGACACCTTTGGGTGGTTTGATGCCCACTCGGATGAACAGTTCAGGATTGAGAAGAGGAAGTTCAATGACCTGTGGGAAAATGAGTCAGGCTCTGGTAATAATAGCGGGAGACTGTTTACCTCACGCAACTCGCGCACTTGCTCGCCTAACCCGCCGATACCTGCAAATGATGCACCTCCAGGGTCTTCTAAACTCATCTTGTACACCATAGGATCTACTTCCCGAGGCAAGATGCGCATGATGGTCAGAGTTGTCATGTCAAGGGAAACTCGTGTCCCAGATTTCAGTTTAGCGGCGGGGAGAGCGGGGCGATAGGAAACGACATAACGGGGCCCTGATGACGCCTTCACAATGACTATGAGAGGACTGTCAACGCATCATCAAGTGAAGGTTGTGGCGACACTCACATCGGTCATCGTCGAGCTGCTTCATGACCTCGCCGATGATCTGGCCAACAGACTGTACTGCTTTGATGTCATCCTCGGTCTTTGCGTAGTCTTTCTCCAAGTCCTTCAACGAGAAACGTACTGACGATCAAGGGAACCTTGTGAGCAGAGATCACCTGCTACTGCACATGCATCACATACAATTCTTAAGACTTTCACTGATAGTCTCATGGTTGCGCATTTTCTAGATGTGCAGTAGTAGTTAGTATGAGGGCATTTCTTGTTGGGTAAATACGAACATCACGGTATCCTTTGAGGGCATCTTGTCTGCGCTGGTCAATGGCTCCTGAGGATGTTGAGGCTTGTTCTTCCATGTCGGCTGAGGGTAGAGGTTGAACGCGACGAGTACGCGTCACTCTGCTCACCTTCCAAATCCGTCATCATCTCGTCTTGTCGCTCAAAGGAGGCTTTTAGCAGGCCGGCCTGATGGTCTAGTAGTATGATTCCTTGTTAGGGCTCCATTCCCAATATCGAGGAGGTCCCGGGTTCAATTCCCGGTCAGGCCCTAGTAAACTCTTTCTGTCCTTTTTAGTTCTTTATGCCTTTCGCATGTCTTGACGAAGTTCAAACAATCGATCCGATTCAAATGGTCTGCATTCATGAACAAACAAATGCACAAAAATTACTGTATATCTATTCCTCTTCGTCATCGTTGGGGTCATCACCCTCTTCCTCGTCATCGTCATCCTCTTCTTCATCTTCATCTCCACTACTCTCGCTCTCATGAAATGTTAATGAAATGTACTCATCTCCGAGCTGCGCATCTTCAGCGGACGCGTGCTGCAAACTCAAGTCAATGTCAGTCCTAGCAGAAGCACCAGAAATGACAGTGGAAGAATCAGCAGCAACAACATCCTTCATGGATGAACTACTAGAAGAATCCGGTGGTGCCGATGTTGAAGTGGCTAGTTTACGGGTACGGTTCGCCCGAATGACATGTGGGAGCTTACACCCCTTGGTTGCACAGGCTCCATTTTCTGCAAAATCGGGACATTCCCTGACATGCTGCTTGTCGCAGTCGAGGCCTTTGTCGCAATACCCGAGTACGGCGAAGTCGCGGCAGACTCCTTGGCGAGGACCCACACGGACGTGAGGAAACGGACATTTGTCGCGAGTGCAGCGACCGTTATTGGCGAAATGTACACAAAGCGGTGTACGTTGAGGTGTTGGATCGTGAGAGAGCGGGCAGGTGTCGACGGTGTTGGGGCAGTTGCCTTGAAGAAAGTTCCAGCAGATGGCGATTTTGGACGCATCATGTTGGTACATGCAAGTAAGACCACGGCTACAGGCACCTGAAAATAAAATAAGGTTGTGAACGGGCATCACGTCGAATAGTCTTAGGAATGTAATCGGCATATCTGATGGAGAATATCGCACCTGTGGTTGTGAATCGAGGACAGGGTTTATCCGAGTATTTGATGCGTTTGCTTGATCGGCCGGCTCTGTTTGATGTGATCAGAGAAAATGGGTATCTATCCAAGGACCACACGGACTGATAAGGTCGACGGCTGTTATCGAGCGTCATGTTGACAGGACCCCCGCGGCCACGAGCACGTCCTCGCCCGCGACCACGGCCGCGAGATGTTGGCTTGTAAGTACGACCCCTGGGAATAAGATGTCCTGTAGTGGTTCTAGAAAGATCTGCATGGGCATTTGTAGGCCGAGGGGGAGCAATTTGGGCTATGGCAGGTTTTGGTACTGAAAGTGAAGTGGGGTTATGGAGAGTACAGGGAGGGTGTCTAGATAGGACTGGGAACTCAGACAACGCACAGTCTTTACGGACAAGAGAGCGCCCAGAAGATTCGAATGCAACACCCCCGATAACGATATCGCGCGTTTGAGAAGGACCAGGGACTGGCGGGGGTTGAGGTTTGTAAGCGGTTGTTGCAGGACGAACAAATTTTGTTGACGGTGTGTACTGAGTTGTCGGAGGCTTGTAGTTTGGGTTGACGTAGGTGCTGTTCCTTGGGCGGGCTGCTGCGTATCCTGTCGATTGCTGGGTGGTCGATCCTGACTTGTGCCGATTGATGGCTCCTGGAGAATACGGATTGTAAAGACTGTTATACGGTAATGGAGCTTGCGGCTTGCCTGTGAGAAGGGCGATTTCTTGTTGAATTCGTGCGGCTTCTGATGCTGGGGTTGAAGCCATGATAGTCGTGGTTCGTATTGAAGAGTCAGGGCAGTGGCGCTGCTAACCAAAGATTACGTGGCTGACTAAAGCTGCCCAGAAAGGCATTTCTTTTGTGTATGTACAATGTGGCGCTCAACCACATTGTTGTATCTAAGAACAATGAGACGAACTGAAAACCCTGAAAGCCCCCCATTTATCATAGGACCAGAGAACATAATCTTAATTTGGGAAAATACCTCCAGGATCCCGGGATAATCTACCTGGACAAAGCTCCAATACATATGCTTAAATGTTGCATCACACACAAAGACATTTCATTTTTCCACAGCCAGTTTATTACAGGGAACCATGCCAAGCCTGCTTGGAAATCGTACTGGGTGTGGCAGTGACAAGTCACCGTCTTTGCCCTTAATTCATATGAAAGTCTCCCGAAATCTGTTGATACGCAACTACAATGACGGAGTTATATAATACTCCAGTCACTGATTTTATTGAGGGTACCATATACATTTGTTGTTAACCCCATCTTCCTGTCGTCATTCGGAACTAGCATCGTTCTCAGGTCTCCAGCCAAGATCATACTTAATTTGACTGGACAGCGCAAATCGGCGGAAGTAACTTGCAGCGCTCGCCGATCTCTGTCCCAGCTTCAAAGAACTTAAATTAAGGGTTTATTTTCTTCTCGATCTTGGTCACTCATTGGCTACAAATCAGTAGTAGAACTTGAACTTAAGCTATTAAGAATATTAGTAAAAGATTCATGTCCGAATTTGGACTCCGATCCGATCACTTTCCCCTCGAACAGCTTCGAACATGAGCAGAGTCCCTCCGGGTCTGCTGTATCTCACCATATACAATCCGACTTTGCGCCCAACGGGATTCGTTTCTCCAGACGACGAAGATGCAGAGGAACAGGCTCACATTCTGTTCTATACCTCCAGGGAGCGCGCTGTATCCAGAGACCGGATGCTTAGACAAGTTGGCCTGGCCAAGGCACTTGTTAATTTCTCGGAGTGAGCACTGTTTCTTACTGAACAGACTCAGCTATTCTTATCTCCGTTCATGTAGGATGTTCAGTGCGACAGAGCCTTGTAATAGTATACATTCACAGTCGAAGCGACTGGTCATGGTGTCTCCAGAGCCTAATTTTTGGATACATGCAGTGAGTGACGCTCGTCAGGGTAATACCATCAGTTTTCAGCGAGTTATTAGGCTATCGAACCAGCCAAGTCTCTCAGACCTGTCGTGGATACCGCAAAAAGCAAAGGCAAGTCGAAGGACGGGGCGAAAGCGAAGGTCAGAGTGAAAGATAAGGGGAAGGCTAAGGAGGAGCCACCTGTATATGATTACCACGATGGATCAGTTCATGACTCGGCACTTTGTGCACACCTGAAGCGCGGGTACGAAACGTTTAAGGTACGGCCTGGGCTGAGGAGGCCAACTATAGCACTAACCGCCACGGATCGGTAGCTCACACATGGATGTTTAACCTCTATTCTGTCCACTCTTGGTCGAGAAGCCTTGGAACTTCAGCTAGAGAGATTCTTTACCGTCTGGGCCTGGAAGTGGGATTTCGACAATGGACCAGATCTCTGTGACGATCTCGGTACGTATTCGCGCACCAATATTCGGGTTTATTGACATTGGCACGGCGTCCAGGCGTCCCTTTACATCCTCTATACCGCTCACTTTTACCGCTGCTGGATACCTTTGCTTCTGAGTCACTCGAAGAAATTGTGCCTATTGTTATTTCTTCACCATACCTAATTCCTTCCTCTAGATTCAACAACGCACGATACCCTCCTTCGCTCTCGCAACACCTCCTGTCGTTGACACTATCCCGCCCGTCAACGATGCGCCGAGCAACGGATCAGACCATCAATGCCTCTCCAAGTTCGGCTGAACACACCGGGACGGTACAACCACCGCCACAATCTGCGGCCCCACTTCCTTCAGATCCTTCAACAGCTGCAGCATCATCCTCAGGCAGTTCGGGGGCGACTTTCCTGGGCATGTCGACTGTCAGCGTAAACATGGATGTACGTAAATGGAGTTGGCCCGGGGTTCTGTCATTTGGGAAAACCCAGGGAAAGAATATGCACGGACAGGTTCATGACGAAATAGATCCCGAGCCAAAGAGAGGCCATGATTCGAAAGAAGGCAACACTGAAGAAACAAAGGCTGTACCAGTGGATGTCGATACGAGTTCTCTAGAGGATGCTATGGCGTCCGATGCGCGATCTGTTGCTGCGTCATCGATTTTGACGAACCCGCGATATGAGACAGGTCCAGATTTGCCGTCTGCATTACATTCCGAGGGCGTAGGAGAGCCTGAGACAATGGCAGAGGACCATTTATCTTCAGCTGAGGCAGCATATCAGCCTGCATTTGGCTCGCCGTCTTGCGACGCTGTACCTCTCAGCAACGAAATACTCTCATCGGGGGCTTCTATATCGTCGTCTTTTCAAGGCGAGACTCCTCTCCCATCTCAGACGTCTCTGCCGACACCTGCACCGGAATTTATGTCCACAATGGTTCACCTCCCAGTCGGGGATGATTCATTGGTAACCAAATGGAGGAAAGTGCTATACCTTGGGGTACGAATCTTTTTTCACGCCCTTCTCTTTCATAGAAGTTAATGGGACATACTACCAGAACCATGATATGGTTGTTGCCCTTATGGAAGGACCAGCCAAAAACAACCATATCCATGACTTATCCTTGGTGGCAGACAAATCTATCAGACTCCTCGAGGACATTCGTAGTGCTGTTGAAGTCCAGTCTGAGGCCCTGGGGGGCTCTTTGCCATCAGCGACAAAGATATTGCAACCCAAAGATAGACACATAATCTCAAGGGATAATTTCATAGATTCGAGTCCTGGCTTTGCACCCAAGTCGGAGCAATTTTACAATGGGAGAGAATTATTAGACAAGTGAGCATCCAGTTCATTGACAGCTCCTGAACCTCGATCTCAGTCGACTTTACCATACTACAGGGATTCTGAAATTTCAGAGGTGTTCTCGCGGGGTCAAAATCCTCAGCATTGGCATGTCACAAGGCGAGGGCTTGGCGCCGATGACAGCGGTAACATTCTCAACGGCGAGGTCTTGTTGGAAGTTTCGAGGAAAGAAGCTAGTTTAACTGACGTCGATAATGTGCTCGTCTCTGTAGTCAAACGGTTTAACTAATATATATACGTACAATGGAGGTAGAATTCAAATTTTGCGACTTGGTTATCCCTGGTGATCTGTTCCAAAAAGATATATCGATAAGCACCGGCCATGACAACCTCAAAAGCCAGGTACATGTGCAAGTTGGCAACTGAAGGAATACCGATAACATCAAGATAGCATGCGATTATGAGATTAGATTAC